ATATATATATATGCATGTGTGTGTGTGTGTGTGTGTGTGTGTGTGTGTGTGTTATTTGTTGCATATATTTTATGCTGTCCACATAAACACCTCTTGCGGGGTGCATCTACGTATTGGTGTATGGATCAACCATAAGAGTGTAGTCCCCCATTTCATGCATCTCTTAACGAATAAGACGAAGAAGGAAGTAAAGGAATAAATAATTGTATCTTTTTGGATAGCAAGAATGCAAAATGTCAGTCCTGCGCGGTTATTTATTGTGTTCAAACCGAATAACCACTAGACCATAAACCCTAATCCCTCAACCATGCGGAGGTACCTCTAGAGGTCGTCCTTGTTGTTTCTCGCGCTCGTAGAGTAGCAGCTTCTCCGCCGTCAAACCAGTGAGAGAAGAAGGCCCAAGTTTCTTAAGAACAATTTGTTTGAATTGATCCACCTGAGTGAGATGTACAAACACTCCAAATCACAAACCTGAACACGCATCCAAGCCCCAATCTTACCCGACCCGAGAAACGCTGGCTCAAAGGTTTGCGATATGGATGGAGAGGCCGTCTGCTTACTGTAATAGAAGAGGAATCAACACCTATACACAGGCGGCTTTCTGCGCCCTGAAGTTTAATCCGGAAAATGACTTGTTTAATTTCTCCTCCTCCCTTTCCCCTGAGTTTCTTGATCAAATCTATATTCAAAGCGGAGGTTAGAAACACGGAATGCAGCACAAACAAAACATAAAAACAACAAACTAGAAAAAATGAATGCGGCAGAACATACGCAATCCGTTGGTGCACTTATCTTTAACCTTTATCTCAGTTTTCTGGTTCCCATGAACAAAAAAGTTCAAAAGAAGAGCAGTGAAGAACTGAAGCGGCAATCAAGCAGCATCTCTGCTCCTCACCATCATTCAACATGTCGCTGAAGTCTAGCGGCGTCGGATTCACATATAGGAAACATCGCGCGACTTTCGGTTCGCCTTCTTTTTCTTCTGAAGCATAAAGATACGAATATATACATACGTATGTATATATGTATATACCATAATAGGCAACTAAACGAACAAACATTAATAAACGAATGTATATTCTATACATATATATACATACATACTACACCTCCACTGTAATTCATATTAGCAAAGAAGACAAACAAAACAAAATTTTAACTTCAATTTGTCTAGTGTTTTTAAGAGTAAAATGTTTAGTCGTTTTCCCACCGACATCGTCCAGCATGCCCGCTGCCCTCGACTTCTTGCGCAGCTGATCCGCAGGAATGGAGGCGTTCACGAATTCATCGCGTACATAAAAGAACTGGTGCTTGGGAGGCGCATTGGGAACCTTGTCGGCCAGCTGTTAAGAGCAAGAAGCAAGAAAAAGAAAGAAGAGAATCAGACATTGAAGAAGGAAGAAGGAGAAAAAAAAGAGCGAGGAAAAGGAGAAGAAGGAGAAGGACGAGATGAAGGAGAAAAGTGCGGGAAGCAAGAAAAAATTGGCAAGCGATAGAGAGCGACTCTTCACATTCTCCTGGCCAACGTGAAACAAAAGCCCAGAGCCACTCAAGCTGTACGTAGTAGAGCGATCCTCCACTGAATTACAAAAATACTCATTTCCCTAGGCCCTAAACCCTGGGCCCTACACACTTCGCCGAATTGAAACACATCCCTTTAAACTGCTCCCCCCAAATGCATTACACAACCGCTCTCCTGTTTCTGACTTATTCGCAATAAAACAACTAAAATAACAATACCTTCAGCCGCTTACAATAGAGCGAACGGTCTCAAGAGTTTCCCATGCCTCAACGATCGCGGTGTACTGCTTGTCGTCCCGGAGGTCCGTGGCCTCGACTTGGATCTTCATGTTGCAAATAGTCAATAAAAACTTGCAAATAATAAATAAAAACTTACAAGTGATGAACAAAAAGTCCAACCGGGAAGGGAACGGGAACAGAAGACGAAAAAACTCAACCTGCAGCCTCTTCTCCCGTACTGTACTGAGAGGCGGGCGGAAACGAAGGCAAACCGCCGGGTTACCCTCGGTTTTTTTCCCTTTATCTTCTTATTTTGCAAAAACAATTAGATTAAAAGGACAAAAAAACACACACTTTTCGACCCTTTCCCGACAAATGTCGCGTGGGGCTTCGTGCACATCAGCTGTACGGGCATCCGCTGGTTTCACCAGACCACCGGTGCAACCCGGTCCTTTTGCCTCCTCTTTTATGTTATTTTAAATTTTTAAAAAGCATATATTTTGCTTAGCTTAGTCAATTTAGTTTTAGTCGAATTAATTTTTCCCTAAATATATGGGGGGGCTGCCGAAAACACCGAACAGCAATTCGCCTCCGCCTCTGCATTGCATAACATGTTGAACACACGTGTAGGCTAATTATTTAACGCGGTGCCTTCTCGATCGCATTTGCAGCTGACAAGTCGAATAAAAACCTTATCTTGTAGATATTTCGATGGCAGCAGTTGCATAGCTGAGTCACTGTTTGTTTGCCTACACCGGGCTGAGTTGCACTACGTTTGAATTCTCCTCCACTCGCCCCATGTATTACTGTTGAATTGTTGCAGATGAAACAGTCGATCGAAGCTTTTTATTCCAAGTGTATGTACGCACCATACACAGAAGGTCTCCCCCCTGACATGCTAAATGTGTTTTCTGTCACTTTGAAACCACAAAGTCTTAAGGATAAAGCGAACGAAATGCGAAGTGAAAGCGACTCACACTACATAGAGAAGGAAGGGGAGGGTAGGATGCAGCAGGTCAAGCATGCATCCATGCATGTATGCATACACAGAAGCAAGCTTGTGTAAACTCTCTAGTGGGGTGAACCGGGACTTCCGCAGCCCTCACTGCTGCATGTGCTCACCAGACACCCCCACAGCAGCAGCAGCATTAGTAGCAGAAAGAACAGCAGCAGCAGGAGGAATAAAAGTAGCAACAGAAATAAAACTAGGAAAGAGTTTGGATGTCTATATTCGACACCACTCTGTCTATTATGGCGGTTTTTTCTGAGAAGCAAATATAAAATAAAAAAGCGAGCTAAATGAACGCAGTAACAAAACCGATATAGAAGAAATTCTGTATTTTTATAATTTATTATCCATTATGCTTTGATTGGTTTTTATTTTAATTCTCTTTAGTCAAAAGTAATGGGGACGAGAAGAAGAACGCGACAACCTGACAGTAGAAGGAGGTTTCAAATGTATCCTCCGCAGCTGAACAGGAAAGGCGTTCTTTCTCCGTTGTTTCTTTATATCCTTCTTTCTTCTTGTTTCACAACATTTCTTTTTGTGTAGTATATTGCTTGCTTTCTTGGCAGTCAAAGAGAGTTCCTTCTTTGTCTCATTTGGCATTCCTCTGTCATTTCTCTACTCAACCCTTTTCTATGCAACGCGCTGGCGCTTCATGCTGCCTTGACGCCCTCCCCTTCCTCCCCTGAATCCTCTGTCTCCTCCGTTTTCTCTTGCGTCTGATCTGTCTCTTTTGTATCTCTCAGCTGCATTCGTGTCACCTCCTGACTGTCGCTGGCCGTCGCGGGGCCACCGCCCTCTTGCAGCTGCTGCAGCTCCTCTCCCACCTCTCCCTCTGTCTGTTTCCTTTTTGTCAACTCTACGGTTAGAAACGTGATTGGGGTTGAGGCGCAAGGAAGCAGAAGACTGACTGGGCCTCTGCTGCTGCTGCTGTTGTTGCTGCTGCTGTCTGGCTAGGTACAGTGCATCCTGCAGCGGCGGAAGCTGGCTAAGCAGCTGAATGCTGAATCCCTTTCTCCTGTCTCCGCTTGCTGCTGCTGCCTTCAAGGGGCCCACCACCTGCTCCTCCCACGCAGCATGCGCATCAGCGGGGATATCGAAGACGGCTCCGTCTCCCTTCTCAGTCAAAACCATCTGTTCAATCCTCTCCAGCACATCACTGTCGCCTCCCCTCCCAGCAGCAGCAGCAGCAGCAGTTTGCTGCCCGAATTTGTTTTTCAAGGCACGCCACACGTAGGAACATGAACCCTGCAACGGTGGAGAGGGAGCAGGATTGAACGTGATGCAATAAGAAACAAACCCTGATCGCCCAGACAAGGAAGATACAGGAGGTGGAGATACACCCGAGCCACCTGCTGTTGCTGCTGATCCTGTTGCTGCTCCTGCTGCTGCTCCTCCTGCTGCATGTCTGTCCTGGGCTAGACAGCTGAGGAGCCGCACGACGACATCCTTTGGGTCTTCCGTCTTGAGGACTTTCTTGGCGATCTGCTGCAGGAGGATTTGTTCTTCTGTTTTTCCTGCTGCTGCTGCATTTGCTGCTTTCGCTGCAGCAGCAGCGGCAGCAGCAGCGACGTCGACCTCGGGGAATAGTTGTTGCGTGAGCTGTTGCAGCCTTTGTTTCTTTAGCTCTCCCACAGATGGAAATCCAATTCTTTTGAAGCAGAAGCTACCAACGCGTTCTATTCGCGTCAAGAATTCTGCATCTTGTCGGTTGTAAAACAAGACAGAAACTCCCTTTCTCCCGGCTCGGCCTGTGCGGCCTGCGCGGTGTATGTACGTTTCTGTATCTCTAGGGGGTGCCATTTGAATCACTAACCGAATCCCTGCAACATCGAGGCCTCTTGCTGCTACATCTGTTGCAACTAAAGTCTGAAACTTCCCCTTCTTGAACGAAGCTAATGTTGCCTCTCGTTGCTGCTGAGACATATCCCCATGAAGAGCGCAAGAACAGCTGCTGATCAGCGAATTCAGAGATACCTCATTCACCTCTTGCTTTGTTTCACAGAATATCACACACAACGCTTTCTCCTCCTCTGCTGCTGCTGCTCCTGCTGCTGATGGGGATGATGAAGGGCAACAAAAAAGAGAGAGAAGCAACGGGAGGGCGTTTGCTCGGTCTTTCCAGTGACACTGCATCGCCATATGTTGAATGAGTCCCGCTCCGCTACCGGTGCCTCCGGGTGTACAGGCAGCTGCTGCATCGTTTGCGTCTGTTGCTGTATCTTTCTCCCTTTCTGCTTGTCGCTGCTGGTAAGCAGTCACATCTACAAAAGCCCGGTCGGGGCTCATGAACTCATCGGCTATGACCCGCGCCCACTTGGGGAAGGTGGCGGTAAACAGCAGCAACTGATATCTCTTCACCCCTTTCTCTCCACCTGTGCTGTCCCCCGCAGCAGCAGCAGCAGTGTCCTTCTGTTGGTTGATGGTTGTGAGCAGCTTCTGCATATCTTCTCTAAATCCCATTTCTAGTAGTTTGTCGGCCTCGTCGAAAACAACTGCCTGTACACCTTGGAGTGTCACTGCAGCTCTTTCAACAAAATCCAGAACTCTTCCCGGCGTAGCAACAAGCACTTGACATCCTTTAGCTATTTGTATTAACTGGGCACTCTCAGGGGCCCCGCCAAAAACACACACTGCGGTGTATCGACCCCCCGACAAACGCACGAACTCCCCGTGCACCTGCTGCGCCAACTCCCGCGTTGGAAGTATAACCATCACCTGCGGGAGCAAACAAAAAACAAAAAACAAAATAATAAAAAAACTATAGAGCAACAACTACAAAGAATGCGGTTGCACATAACCCTGCCAAGCAACTAACATATCACACAAAGCCAACTAAACAAATGCAGGCAGCGAAATAGGATAAACGCACAAAATGAAGGAACAAACAAAATAACAGCTAATGCTATTTATTTCGAAGTATTGTAAAAAACTGGGGGGGAAACAAAAAACAGTTGCATGTTTCAGTGGCTAGGAAGCAGTGAAACGCAAAACCAACAAGTTTTGTTCCCTCCTCATTTTTTCTTTACTCTTTTGCATATTGATGTTTTGTTTGTTTTATTTCTATTCATCGATGTGTTTTTTATTACCTTTAAATCGGGAGTGCCTCTCTTTCTGCTGCCTGCCGACAAACGGCCTGTGGAGTTGTTATTTTTTTTTGTTTCCTCTTCATCTCCAGAAGCATCTGAATTTTTGTTTTTGTCTCTAACGAAATGTTTTTCAACCAAAGGCAAACAAAACGCCAAAGTCTTCCCCGTCCCCGTCTTGGCGCGACAAACGACGTCACAGCCTAAACAAAAACACAAAACACACAGATACAGCAGTGCATGCACGCAGAAAAAGATGATCACAGAGAAATACAACACAAACACGTACTTTAATGCATACATGAATACTACATAACATTGGGGCAATACAACAGCACAAAGGCGTACAGCAACGGATGGATGCAGAAAACGACGAAAGTATATGAATACAACACAGGACCATGCAGGAGTGCAACAAAAATGCATACAAAGGATGAATAATACAACTATAGTAGCAACAGCACAATGCTGAACACTCCCTCATTAGCAACTAACCACCAGCAGCTGTAAGTTGCTGCTTTTTGTTTCTTTCTGATGGTACCTTAGCTGCTGATGCTAGTGCTGCTGCTTCGATTGCTACTGCTTCTACTTATTCCTCCACAGAGGTGCTTACCCTCGTAGACTTGTTTGAAGGTCAGGAACTGTGAAGGGAGAAGACGGTGAATATTGTTTTGCTGCAACAGGCGAATTGTTGAGGAAGATATGGGAAAGAGATCGAAGGCTCCGCAAGCCTCGGGATTCTCAAGCTGCTGCTGCTGCTGCTGCTGCTGGTCCTTTGTTGAACTTTTTTCATTGTTTGAAACATTGTGGTGGTTTTGTTTGTCGCTTTTGTTGCTTTCTTCTTTCCTCTTCTTGAGTTTCGCTGCTCCTGTGGCCACAGACTCCCCAGCGGTTTCTGCCACTCCCCCGTGGGTTGTACCGCGCTCTTTTTGTGCTTTTGCTGCTCGCATTTTGTACTTCTCTCTTTCTGTGGTTTAGGGTTTCGGGAGAACTGGCGGAGAGGTGGCTCACCGGAGCACAGGCGATGGGGTGAATGCGATGCAAATCCCCCAGAAACGAGGGAAGAAATGAACAGAAAAAAGAAAGGGCAAGACCGGAGCGCTGTCAATGAGGAAAGGGGGAGCAAAGAAAGACCAGAACGCTACGAAGGACGCGTTGAAACCCTGTTGAGACTGCCCCGGTCATAGCATGGAAACTAGCAACTGGGACTGATGTTTTTCTCAATTCTTGCGCTGGAAGGCAGTAAAAATCTGAGTTTGACAAAAGAAGAGAAGATAAAGCCGAAATATAATAAATAACACCAATAAAAATCCGAGGGTGAAAACATCAAGTGTGGGGCGCAGTTGAGGTGTATGTACACCTCACTGCAACACCAACCCGCCTTCGAGCTAAATAAATGAAGGAATCATGATACAAGAAAATAACAAATGAAGTTTAAAAATTAAACTAACGGATCAAAAGATGGAACAAATGTTTGCGAGGGGCCCCCCATCCAGCCCCAGCGAGGTGTTCGGGTTTTTGAATCGTTCATATTTCCTTTCCTCTTGACTGCATCTTTAGCCTTTTCCTTTCTATTTCTTACGCTTTTTGCTGATCATTTCGGCTCTACTTGTCATTTTATGCTTTGTTTCATAAAGTTCCTCCCCTGAGTCTCTGGTTTTCACGTTGCAACCGTTCTGCCTCCGAAGAAACCAACTAGACAACTGAACCTTTCGCTCCTTTGATCCTCGTTTCTGTCTTTTATTTCTTCATTCTCTGAATCCTTTCGCCCCCCTCTGTCCTGTTTTTCCTGTTCATCATGTGCGCGAACACAAAGCCATCAGACTCCCCGCCAGCAGCAGCCGCAGCAAGCGCCACAGAAGAAAACACTCCTCCCGACTCCTCTGCTCGCCAATCCACATCCGCATCTCCATCTGCTTCCGCTGATCCTTCGGATTCAGCAGCAGCAGCAGTGTGTCAGGGATGCGGGATATCTGAAGCAGATGCAAATCGACGGTTTCTGAGTTGCCCAAGATGTCTGGAGCTGAATATACACCCCAACTCCTTCTGCTCTCAGGAATGTTTCCGTTCTTCCTGGAAGAAGCACAAGGCACTCCATGAAGTTCTTGAGTCCATAAGAAAACAAAAACAAGGGAGGTTGAATGCCAGCTTGACTGGTATCGATGTCGCCAACTATGACCCCAGCGACACAGACGCCTGGCGGGCAGACCCTCATCTCAGGTATTAACAGTTGAAGAGCGGGAAAATAGTAGACGAAAAACCAAGCAAACAAATAGATAAACAAATGTACACGTATTCGATAGCTGGGGGAAGCGTTTAGTTTACCCGCTAGAGGAGAACGCAGCCATCAGCGGCGTTGCAAGCAAACATAAGTAATAGAAGCAATCGAGAGAGAGCATGCAATAGTGAACCGTCGAGAAAAGCGTTTTTTGTTTTCTTCACCAGATACGGTTGTTTTGTTCTTGCATGGCTGCAGCTGAAAGTCTAGTGTTTTGTCTAGGGTTTGGGGTGTATTGACACCTGCGCGTGCCTGCAGCCAGTTTCTGGGATTCAAGTTTACGGGGAAACTCCGGCCGTGGCCGATAACCCCTCGGCGTTCTGTTCCCTCTTCAGTGGCTAAGCCGGATTACGCAGAGACGGGTGTGCCGTATGGGGAAAGAAGTTTAAAAAATAATGCAATCAAGGTATACTCAGCAGAAGAAATCGAGGTCAGCATGCACTCAGGTGGACGTACACTTCAATAAAAAGCTTGCAAATGCAGATGACACCTCTCCAGCTCCTTCTGCTGTTGCTGCTGCTGCTAGAGTTAGCAGATAACACATTTCAGGCGCCTGCTGTTGTTACTGCTGGTATTGTTGACGTATATATATATATATATATATATATATATATATATATATATATATATATATATATATAATTATGTATATCGGTGCTGCAGCGACTGCGCGAAGCGTGCCGGTTGGGTCGTCAGGCTCTGGATTTGGTGCATTCTTTAGTTAAGCCTGGAGTGACAGCAGAAGAGTTAGACGAAAAAGTGCATGCATTTATTGTAAACAACAACGCTTACCCCTCCCCCCTCAACTACCAAGGCTTTCCCAAGTCGTGCTGCGTCAGCGTCAATGAAGTCATCTGCCACGGCATCCCAGACTTCCGGTCACAAACCCTAAACCCTAAACCCTTAACTTGTTACTCCCCTGCACTGCCAGCTGTAGCAAGAGAGCAGCATTCAGGGGCTCATCCACATGCTATTGCCGTCTAAGCCTCAAACCCTAGACCCTCTTAACTCTAAACAGCTCATGAACCGCATGAACTGCAGGAAGCCCTTTACAGGTTTGCCCGAGCCAGGGGTGCCGAACGGGTTTCTGCTGCGGCAAGGATTTAGGGTTTGGGGGTTTGCGTTTTCTTCAGGCCTCTACAGGAAGGGGATATCGTGAACGTGGACATAACGGTGTATTACAAAGGCATGCATGCAGATTTGAATGAAACCTTCTGCTGCGGCACCCCGAATCCCGATCAAAAAAGACTGCTTCAGGGCGCATATCTTTGTCTTATGGAAGCAATCAAGGCCGTAAATGCTTGTTGCTGCTGCTGTTGCTGTTCTGCTGTTGCTCCTGCTTAGCGGACGTTTTTGGCTGTAGGGAGCAAGTAGGTAGGTTGTGGCTGCGGTTGCTGCACATGTGGCGCCGGGTTGGTGTGTTTGTGTGATGCTCTTGCTGCAGTGCAAACCTGGAATGATGTACCGCGAAATCGGGCGTGTGGTTTCAGCTGTTGCGGACAAGCACGGGTAATTAACGCGAATTCTTGTCGTTCCGTCAAAACTAAGAATACAAATTAGAATCTCGCCCTGAGACCTAGTATCAATACATGCAGATAATCTAATGTATATGGATTGTTGCGGGGTGGACTTACAGGCTCTCCGTCGTCCGCTCTTACTGTGGACATGGGACAGGAGAACTCTTCCACACATCCCCCAGTATTCCCCACTACCGCAACAATAAAGCAGTAAGCACCAACAGCAGCAGCAGCAGCAGCAGAGCAGCAAAAGTGTAGCCCGCGTTGCTTCTGCTGCTGTACCCATTCCTGCAGTATCTGCCCTGCAATCTGAAACAGCTGTCTGGTGCTTGGCATGCTGCTGCTGCTGCTGCTGTTGTTGCAGGTCGGGGTGATGCGTGCTGGGCATGTATTCACGATTGAACCTATGCTGAATTTAGGACGCAGTGCGGATTGTCTGTGGCCGGATGGATGGACAGCAGTGACGGCAGACGGCTCCTTGTCTGCACAATTTGAACATACACTTTGCTGTACAGACAGCGGAGTTGAAGTGCTCACGAAGCGCACCCCAGAATCCCCCCGCCTCGATTTCGACACGCTAGGCCACGACTTGCCCTAATGCCTAAGTCCTACCCGAATCTGAAGTTCTAGCGACGAAAGTAAAGCCCTCAGGATGGTCCTTCCCGTCGCGCTGCTCAGCTATACAGGGGTCTGGAGAGCGCCATGGTTTTGCGTCTTTCATGCACACTCAATGCACTTGAATTAACTAACTAGCTGCTGCGCCGCTGAAGAGCATAAACGGCGTAGGATGTGTATCCGAGGCGTCGTCAGTCAGTACAGTGCTCGCTATAGGTATACACACCCCACGGTTGTTTGGGGTTCCCCACTGGCAATTTAGGTACTTTCAGTGACGTTCTAGATCACCCAGTGGGTGTCTAGTGTTTCTTAACGTGGACCTTGTTTTTTGTATTTAAGCTGCACATACACCCGAATTTATCAGCTATCGGTAAACAGTGATATGCTGTGCCGGGGTTGCCTTGATGCTCCCTACACACATGCCTTCCGAATTAAAAGTTCGTTGATTTGTTTATAGTTGAGCATATGGAATAATCTGGGGTTTAGGGGTTCAGTTGTTGCCAGTTTTTGAAGGTTCAGCTGCTGCCTTGTTGCATTTAGGGGTTCAGATTTGTGCCGCTCGCCACCTGCATTGGCATGAAGAGCCAGAGTGTCAGTGCTGTGCAAAGTTCTAGAAAAGTATCTAGTCCTAGTAACAGTTCAACAGGAATGCACTGCGGAGCAGCAATGAAGAGCACAGGCCTTTTACAAGCCTCGCCCATGCCTGCAGAGGAAACCCCGTGCCCTGTTCGAGGTATCCCTGCAAGCCTGTTCTCAGACGGAAGCACAGCGAGGTGGAAGCTTCCTTCTCACAGCTCTCAGCCTTAGAATATGCGCGCATAGCTCAGCTCCACTTACCCTCACTCTGCTGACATTAGGTAGACAATCCTAGAACTGCAGTTTGCTCAGTAGGACAAGTGCACTTGTCTCTTGGCCCAGCATGCCTACTCCACCCAGCTCACTCACCAGGGGTTGCCCACTCCAGCGGCCCGTGCAGAAGCGAAAAGCACCACAGCAAATGCTTTGCATTTACACAGCATTTACAAATGTATTGTAAATGTCTTGTTTTGTTTTGGAATGCAATGTTGTGGAGCCGTTCATATGCCCTCCTCATTTCGCATCTCGTCAAATGCTGAGGCTACACGGCTTGGCCTTTTAGCATCTTATAGTGGACCCACAAAAACATTCTTTGCCTTCATTCGCAGCCGTGCAGCGACTTCAGGACCAGCCGCCAAAAGCACGTCGTAGCTACCGACTAAATACACAGAATCAGGGTACCACCCCTTGCCTCTATTAAAAGATGGTTGTGCGTCTTCGCAGGTCTTGCTCAGCTGGGTCTCAGCCGAACCCCAGATGATGCTAGCAGCGAGAACAGAGACGGTTCCCTCCCAAGTGTCAGTGATTGCATGCAATACCCTGTATAAGTTCAACTGTTTTCTTCATGCAGGCTTTTGTCTCGGTCATCACCGTGAACCTACGCTGCGAACTGTAGCGTGTTTGATCTGCTGAAACTGCTAACGTCACTTGTTTACTGCCAGCCTCGACCCTCGGTATGACAAATCCGAGGTGCGCAGCCAAGGCCAAGGCTGTCGAGCACCTTCGCGAGCAGAAAGCTGGTGTTTGTCGCTTGTACCGCGCTCCGCCATCTTAGAATTTGATTTCCGTCATTACGTTTCCGGTTCCCGCATGATTCAGAAGAATATAGCTTCGTTAGTATGCTGTGTGGGAGTTGTGGGTGGGGTTGCTTGACCAAGTGGGTTTCTTGAGTGATTTGTTCTTGTGATGCAGCATCTCGGATACATTTCAAAGTGGTTTCAAGTTCGCACGTAGTAGCTGCAGCTTACATCTACGGAATAAAGATATTCGCGCTTGTCGCAAGCTGCTGCGCATGCGTAACATGTCCCACCATACGCCTTTAAAGGCGTTATGCAAGATATCCCGCCATACGCCTTTAAAAGCGTTACAAGAGAGCTTTATAAACACTGTCGCAACTGTTGCTGCTCACGTCAACCGCCGACTGCCCATTTTCAGCATCGCCATAACATATCCGAGGCGGGGAAGTAGCACGAGTCTCTCAAACACCTTCATGAGGGGCAAGCATCACAGACCTCCCATTTCACTAGTGGTTACCCGGTCCCGCTGCTACCTATGGTTCAGTGCAAAGCTCCATTATAGATGCTTCCGAAAACAGCCATGTAGAGAAGTTACCAGCGTGGTGCAAGCCCGGCAGGTTGCGCTAAAAATGCCATCTTCTGCGTCATATCCATAATTCTTGAACGGTCCACGTGGAGCGTGCGTCCCAGCTCGGTTACCTGCTGGTCCATTGTTGGTGGAGATCGACTCGGCCGGCAGCTGTCTCACGTAGAGAAACAAGCCCCCCCCCATGCAGACATCGTCAACGGGGGACTTGTGTCTCTGTGGGAGGAATGGGATACAACAAATGACCCAGCAATGAAGGTTCAAAACCCACAACTGTTTTCAAACCTATGTTAGTATGTCTTGTTGTCACGTTCAGGCAGCGTC